CTTGCACGCCGGTCCTGCCGCTTCTCTCTTCCGCTCGCGGCAACGTTCACGTCTAGCGCGCAGTCACGATTGAAACGTCATCAGCAAAACGCGGAGAGAGAGTCGGCGCTTCGGCCGCTTACGTCGCGGGCATCGTCGGTCAAGCGCCTTGGACGCCCTCTAGAGGAAAACGGAGGCGAAGCACACGGACGCGAGCCCAAAACGTCGTCGTTGGCTCGCTCGCTCGCTCGTAGGTCCAAAATCGGCACGGTTCGATTGCTCTCCAATTCGAACGTATTCCTTAGGACGAGGGATTTTGCTGCATCGGTCCCAATTTGAAACCCCGGTGGTCTAAGCGATGAGGATTCGGCGTCGTCGCCGCCGAGGTCCGCTTTTGCGTCTCCTGAACCGACACCGATTCGATGTCGAGCAATCGCAAAGCCGACGAGACGACACCGTTGATGCTCTTTACGTTTCGCAAACGTCACTCGCGCGTGCATGGCTTGTCACGACTTGCCGCGGAGGTCTTCCGCCGATGGAGTTGCTAACGTTCGCCCGACTCGGCGTTCTCTCTGAGGGATTCGACACTCGGCATCGCGCGCGCCTTCTCCGCGCTCGGATGCTCCGTGACAACGGAAGGACGACGCTGACGACCTTGGTTGGGCGCGAGCAAATCGCTGACGGCGCCAGCAGCAAGACCAGACCTTCTTTTCGGCTGAATGGAAAGGAACCAACTTTTTGTTGCGTGACCGGCCCGCAGACGTGTCAAGACGAGTCAACGCGAATTGCCGTTCTTGACTTTTGGCGCTGTGACGTTGTCTCTCAAAATCACCAAACGGAGACTCGAGGAGCCTCTCAAGTCAAACTGCCCACGTCGGACGTTTCTCTCAGGTGAGAAGCGAAACGGCGTTTCGTTATCGGGGCTGAGGCAACGCATCCAAATCGCCGACTTGATCTTGAAAATGCAAATGTTGCACACTCGGAACGAAATCGACCAAGGTTTTTGCCAATCCTTTGAAAGCTGGAGAAGCGTGTTGGGAAACGGCAGAGAAAGCCGGCCGGCACCATTTTCCGAACGGAGGATCAACTTGGTGGCCTCCCATCGCCGCAAAAGCAAAAGTGTGCTTCTCAGTGAAGTCACGCGCGGCAGCATTTTTGCCAGCTTTCAAAAGAGAGCCATCGTGAAAAAAAAAAAAAAAAAACATTTGCAAAGGCTGGAATTGAAACGTCCTGCACAGCCATTTGGACTGCAGAGGCGACGCTTGGGCTCAAGTTGCAGGAGCCTCCCCCCATCGTCACAAACATCAAATCCTAAAATGGGCTTGAGTTTCTCACCCGTTTCACACTCGACCCACGTCCAAATGAGGCCCGTTTTGTGTGGGCGTGCTTCCCAATAGAATGCGATCCCATTTGCAAAAATGTGTAAGGAATGAAGTTGAAAGTGTGCGGGATTTGCATTTCCGGGGCCAAGATGGCCCCCACCTGAGATGAGGTCAGAGATTTTGATGGGCCGTCATCGCCACCAAAACCAAAGGGCGGCGCGGCGAAGCCGATTTGGAGGGAAACAAATGGACTTGGAAGCGGTTTCTCGTCAGTCAGCGACTTACTTTCTGTCGTCGTCGCCCTCCATCGGTCAGGTCAACGTGGCGCAAACTTTGCGTGTCGTCATTGGTCTGCGTTTTGACGGCTGTCGCCATCCAGGTGAACGTCAAACGACCTTTTGGCGGTGGTTGTTCTTGTTGGAGAGACAAGTGTCAACCGTGCGCCAGAATCAGACCTCCGTTTTTCTCGTCGGACTGCGAGCCGCTTGGTCACGGAGCGAAGCAATCACATCGCGGCCACGCGTCCGCCACAATGTCGGCTCGCCGTTTGATGAGTAGCGCGGGCAAATTCAAAGGCACTCTGGATTTGACAACTTTATTCACTTGTCAGCCATGACGTTTCTTCCGGAAACATTCTTTGGAGAGCACATGGATCAAGCGGGGAATAGTGTGAAAGGTCAACTCGTGCAGAAGGGTTGAGGCGTGGTGCGCGGGTGGTCCTACGACGGCGGTTACGGGACGGAAGCACGCGGGGAGCCCGCGGAGGCAGGCGGCGCCGCCCGTCCCGATGCGGAGGTCGGAAGCGGGCGACGGCGCGCCGACTTTGAGGCGAGCCCGCAAAGCTTGAACGGAGGGCCTCGGGCGCCGCCCTCCTCGCGCGCAACGGTGGCGAGATGGCTCGGGCGGGGGGAGGGGAGCGGGCGCGTTGGGGGCGAGAGACGTTTCCGCTCCGAGCCCGGTGGCCTCCATTCAACCTTTGCGGACGAGCGGGTCCCGCAAAGAGTGGACGCGGGCGGCCCTATTTCTTGGTGGGATCGCGCAGTCGCCCCATCAGGAGCAGGCCGCCGCTGGTCTGATGGTAAACCACAAAGTGGAACGGTCGGTTGAAGGTCAGCCGAGGGGGAGGAGAGGAGAAGGCGGCGGCGGCGGCGGCGTCTCCCGGGCCGCTCTCGTCCATCGTGGCGACGGCTTTGTGAAGAACCTGCGCGCGAACGACTGGCGTCAGGGCTCAAGGTCGGGACGGCGACGGGAGGGCGCGCCTCGGGTCACCTGCGACACTTTGGCGCCTTCGGGGCCGCCCGCGTTGCTGAGGTCGGCGTCATCCCCGAAGACCTGGACCACGCCCAGCGTCCGCAGGGCGTCCCCCAGGGAGTAGGTACGATCCAAGAAGAAGCGCGGCAACTGCACCTCCAGCTTCCTGCAAGCAACCCGGTCCCCAAGACGTCGTCGGCCCGCTTAGAGGTCGGCAAGAAAAGCCCGCGTCTTTGCGCCCCCAATCGGGACGCGGGCGGCAGCGAACTCACGTCTTCTTGAGCTGCCGGATCCAGGCCCGGATCTTCTCCGAGCTCACTTGCTCCTCCAGCGCGCCGATGTCCACGTCTTCGTCGGGCAGCACCAGCAAGGCGGCCGCCCCGTCCGTCATGGGCAGCTTGAGCACGCCGGCTCGGAGCGAGCGGTCGTACGCCAGGAAGTACTTGTCGGCCCGCAGCATCATGGGGACCGTCGCCACGTGGTACCTGTCCACGTAGAAGCGCTCGTCCGCGGTGGCGCTGGCGTTGAACGCTTGACTGAAGCGGCCTGCGGGAGAACGCCGTCGGAGCGTCACCGACCGCTCGCGGCTTTGTCCTCGCTTGCGGGACGACAACGGGCCACGCGGGGGCGGCGGCGAGAAACTTGGGCTTGCGCTTCAAACACAAATTGAAAACGTCGCCGATTTGGAGAAACAATTAGGCAATGACCAATCAACGACCAAAGTCATCCAGCCGACACCCAATGGTTAGAACAGATTGCCCCCCCCCCCCATTCCAGCCTCTCAACGGGAAATATTTTCAGCTTGGCTTTCAAACGAAGACCTTTGCATTTGACTTTTTGACAAACCACCACAGGAATCGTCGCCAACGTACGTTTGGATTTTCTGCAATTTGAAACGATGTGGCCTGAAGAAGAAAGGGATGGAATTAAAAAGGGGGGGGGGTATGTTTTGTGGTCGGTTTGTTTGAAGCGGGCACATCAATGAAGCCCCCTCCGACCCAAAGCTGAAAGGCAACCCTGAACCGCAAGCCCCCGCGTTGGGGCGCTTTCCGCGGCCCTTCGGCTGCAGAGGAAAGCACTCCAAGGACCGGCGGCCGAAGCCCTGAGGGCACCTTGGTAGGAGGCGGCGGTGGCGAGTAGCCACTTGGTCCGGGGGTCCACGTCCGTCACGGCGTCCTGAACCCGATCTCCGGTCTGCTGGCGGACCCACGCGTTGATGGCTTCGGAGGCGTCCTGCGGCGCGTCGAAGGCCAAGCTCTTCACGCTGCCGCCGTAGTCGCGTCGCAGAAGCTCCGCAAACTGCGCCGAGGCCTGCGCGCTGGCCTCGGTAAACAAGGCCGTGCCCTGCCTGAGGTTGAGGGCGCCGCCCCCCGCCGGCGTGCCGGTTATCGTCGACAAGGCATCTGAGGGCAAAAGGGGAGGGATGGGGAAAAGGGACAAACGAGTCGAGTTGCTCCCGCGACCCCGCGCGGAAGTGAAACCGCGCCCAGCGCAAGTCATCTTCGGTCTCCAAAGGCAGCGACATACGCTTGCGGTGCGAGATTTTGCATTTGAAAACATGGCGGGGGGCGGGGGCGTGAAAAGCAGATGATTTGCATTGCAGGTTGCACATCATCTTTGTGCCCAATCCAAATAAAACATGAGCAAACATCTTATTTGAATTTTGCAAAACAATCGGCAACGTTTGGAGAGGGCGGGCAGATGATTCGGACCAAACCGTCAAGTGAATCGAAATCAATTCTTATCGCGCATCTTTTGCAGTTTGAAGTCAGGTCCTGTTTTCGTGGAAAGGGGTGGAAAATGTAAAGGAAAACAAACAAACCATTTTTTTAAAAATTTATCCTAGTCCAATTCGTGATGAATCCATCTGCAACGGAAATAAAATCAACATTTTGGGGGCGGTTTGTTTTGTCAACCAGAAAGCCGGTGGATTTGGTTTGGAGAAGAACGGAGTGAGTCCGCGACCCACCTGAGATGTTTTGCGGGTCGAGTCCGGCGAGTCCGAGCGCCGTCCGCAGCTCTTCTCGGGTGGCGCCGCCGGTGGCGCCGAGCAGCGCCGCCAGGCCGCGCCACACGGACGCGGTGCACAGCAAAACGTTGTCGTCGCTGCGGCTGGCCAGCGCCCGATACAAACGCGTGGAAAAGTCGGAGCTCCTGCCGATCACGTCCCGAACCGCGCCGTCGGCGGCGGGCTGCGAGCCGAGCGGAACCGCCAGGCCGAGGATCGCCAGCAAAGTCAGAGGGCCGGACGACATCGCGCTACCTGACCGACGGCAAACAAGCGCAGTTAGCTCCCCCCGCGCCCCCCCGAGTCCACTTTCCACATCCCGCCCAACACTGACAAATAAAGCAGCGGATCGTTGTCATCCTTCGGCCACCGGAAGCCGACAGACGCGAACAACGCACCTTGGGAAAGATGTCCAGACTCTAAGCCGCCCCCCCCCCCAACCACCGTGCGGTGGCAACACGGACGAAAATGCGAGGACTCTTCAAAATCTAACTTTAAACTGACATTCAGCCACGAAAAGACGGCGATCGCGTTGTTCATTTCTCAACATTTGTCGAACCAGACACGAAAATGCGAGGACTCTTCAAATCTAACTTTAAACTGACATTCATCCACGAAAAGACGGCGACCGCGTTGTTCATTTCTCAACATTTGTCGAACCAGACAGGAAAGTGGCAGATCAATCTCCCGATACACAATCGCTCAGCTCCCAATGACGTCAGGCGTTTTTGTTGCCATTTTATAGTTCCAATGTTTAAAACCTCCTGCGGACGCTGTCACGAGAACGTGACACATATTGCTCAATTCTCGCCTCTAATTTACTTTAAAAAAAGAGTCAATTATCCGCAATTGAAGCTCCAACTCAAGTTTTTTTTGACATTCTGACAGAACAATGTTGTTTTCAACCAAACATCACACACGCACGCACATTGTTTTTGTCACCACTCAAACTGAGAGGGCACAAGAAGCAACAATGTCAAACAGTCCCAAGTGTAAAAGTCCAGCTCAACTCTTTGTTTTGAGCATTCGTGATCGAATCCAAAGACGTCAGCCAGCGTGTCCGGCTTTGTTTCTTGCGAATCAAACGTCAGCCGAGCGGCGCGTCGGCGCCGTCCAGTCCTCGGACGCCCTCCTTCCACACGGCGGCGTCGCGTCCGGCTCGGGGCAGGTGAGGCGCAAACACCACCTCCAATCTGCGGAGGGCGCTGTCCTCCTCGCCCCTGCTCACCGTCCCCCGAAGGCGCCGCAGCATCAGTCGAACCATCACCTGATTGGCCCACGCCAAGCCCAGCGCCGGCCGCACGGTCGAGGAAGGAGGACTGGCGGGCACAAGCAAATCCACGTCAATCGTTTTCATGCGTCGGTGGGCCAAAAGTGAAGATGGACAAGTGGATATTGGCCACATTCTTCAATTCAACGTCTAGAACAACCCGAATCGCGAGCGGTGGAAAGGCGTGGATGAGATTCCGAATTGTCATCTTTTCTTCTCTTCGTAGAGTCCAACAAATACGAAGTGAAGTACAAAGTACTGGACAGCAGTCAAAAAACGTGCCAACTGTAATTCTTCTATCTGCACCGGTTGTGCCTTTTAAGGGGCAAGAAAAGAAGTGATTTTACTCGCTGCCTTTGTCTTGTATGCTTTTGATTTCTTTTTCATTCATCATCCAGTCAGTCGGTTCTCAGAAACTTTTCCGTTGGCCTCAAAAGACATCCGCATCGGTGCCGCCCAACTTGCTCGTTTATACGCTACCAAACGTGACTTTACCCCATGTATTCTTCTGAGCCGCTGAAGATGTCCGTCACCTACGACACAATCACGCTTTTGGTTAATGCAAAGAATGTGCGGCCGTGCGTGTGCGTGTGGGTGGGAGGGGTTACCTGGTTGATGCAGAGGACAGCGGAATTAAACTGGCGGCAAAGGTGGTGCAGCGTGGACGAGAGCGTCAGCAGCTGCTTGGTTTTCTCCAGCCAATCGGAGAGCCCGAACTCGGACCTGAAGAGAGACGCCACCGAGTCCACGGCCACAAAGCGGACGAGATGGCGAGCCAGCAGGAGCCGAACGCGACGCCTCAGGCACGACTCCAGCGACGTCTGAAGGCACACGTATTGGCGGCGTCCTGCCGATCAGGCGAGACGCGGGCGGATCCCGTGCGACGGGGGCACCCACCAGATCGGCGGCGTGCTCGACGTAAACCCGGTCACCGAACTGAAGGCTGTCGGTCACGTGCGGGGGCACGTCGGCGCGAAGACGCGATTGCTCTCTAATCAGCTGCTGCAGACGTCTGCTGGGAAAAGTGTCCTCTGTGCACACAAACACGGCTCCTACAGGTACGCCCCCCCACCCCCCAAAAAAGTCTGAACAAATCTTGGTTTGGGTTTTGTTTTGCAATGAAAAAATCCTAGTCCGGCTCACTCGAGCTCAAATTGGGCCGAATGCGGCCTCTCGACTCAAATGAGTGGGACGAGCGCGGCGATGGCGACTGACCCGAGTCCAGCCCCCCGTGACGGGCCGGGTACTGGACCGAGAGACAGAGCTGCAGAGCCAGCTGGGTCTTCCCGACGCCGCTCTCTCCGGACAGCTCGGTGACCCCTCCTACGGGAAGGCCGCCTCTCAGCAGTCCGTCCAGCACGGGGCAGCCCAGGCTCAGTCTGAGCCCGAAGTCGTCCGCCGCCAGAACTGCGCACGCAAACGCGCGGCTCGGTCAGCGGGCGGTCACCCTTTGGGGACGAGGCCGGATGTCACCTGGTTGCGGTCGGCGGGCCCGGCAGAGCAGAGCGGCGGCCGTCAGCAGCCGCCGGACGTCGGAGGCCGAGAGACAGGTGAGCCTCTGCAGATCAGGACCCGACATGCACAGCGCGTCCCTGACGGATTGGACGCCGGCTGGAGGCGAAGCAGCGGAACAACGGGAGAGTTGGGAACAGTTCCAGGCATGCTCAATAGTTTCGGGAAGGGCTGGCTGCCAGGCGTGCGATGATTAATCGACAACTACCGGTAATTGACTTTCCAATTCATGGTTGGATTGCTGTTGGTGAACTTCACCAGGTCCAAATTGCCGAATTTCAGCTTGGCATTCGTAAATGGTCTCCAATTTCTGTCGACCTCCATGAAAGCAGACGAATTATCTTTGCGAGTTTTTCTTTCAAAACAGAACATTTGCAAACATCTGCTTTTGCTTTGGGAAAACAGTCCTCAACATTTTGGCCCATTTTCGGACGGATGCTAAGGACCAAACCAGCAATCGCACGGTTCATATGATCATCCTTTCATGGCGGAGGAAAATATCGTCCATTTAATGTGGTATACAAATCATGGTTCTGTGAAGTGTATCGATGTCACGCCAGAAAAAAAAAAGTTGAGTGTCACGTTACGTGTTAAATCGCATTTAACACGATTTGTCGCAGGAAAATTATTCACTGGGACGGTCTTGTCTCTCGATTCATGTTGGAACTCGAAACGCCTACACGGGGTGTCTGGATGCGGTGCGAAAAGTAGAAACGGAACTGAAACGTGGTTACCTTTCTGGAGGGCGTTGACGATCCTCGGGTGAAGCTCCAGCTGCCGCCATGAGGACATCGTGTCCCTCTTTGCAAGTTACGAGTGAGCGGCCATTCGGTTTCCTTGTCACACTGTCGTCATCAGCCTGCGCCGGTTGGAACGTTCCATTGCGGCTTGTGGGAGAGGGGTGGTGTGCATCGAAGAAAAGAGTCGCGATTATGAATAGCAGCCCTCTGTGGATTTCGTCAGTTGTTTGCTTGGTTCAGAGATGATTCGCTTTTAAAGCTTCGACTGTAAACCATCGTTTCAGTCGCTTATTTCAATCGTCAATAAACGCCACCCAGGGAGTTGTGACGTCATCGAACGCGAATCAGGAAGCCAAACAATGATGGCTTTTTTCTTTCGCAAGTGAATGAAACGCGAAATCGGGAAATTCAAAAGAAAAATTCGGAAATTCAAAAGAAAACAAAATTCCTGAAATTCCAATGGGTACTTGTACGCTTGTAAGGCAAAGGATGACGTCGGACACTCGAAGGACTGGCTGATCTTTCTGAGCGCCAAAATCTTTTCCATTCTTGTCGCGCTTCGACGTCCGTCGTGAGTGAGTCTTCTTCTATATCTTGTTTGCATTTGTCCAAGAACGTTGTGACGTTTGAAAATGGTACCGGTTTTCTTCGTCAGGAGTAGCGTAGTGTGTTAAGCATTTGGGTCGACAACTCTGAGGAGCCCGGTTCGAATCTCACAAGCAGCTGCCGCTATGTGTTTTTTTTTGGGGGGGGGGGGTAAATTATTCCTGTAGATCTGTATTCGATTGACAGCCTACACAAACATCAATATCGAAAGAGCTGAAGGGATGCTTACACTAGATTTTGTCGAAAGCTGCACACCAGAAAATAACTTCAACCAAACCCCACATGAGCGACTACACAACTAAGACACGAACAACAAAACAAAAAAAACATCAAAAGATCCAGGAACACGAGAAACACCAAGGGCTCAGAGAGGAGCTGGAGAGAGCCTGGAAGGTAAAGGTGACAGTCGTGCCTGTGGTGGTCGGCGCACTCGGGGCAGTGAGCCCCAAACAAGATGAGTGGTCGCAACAGATCCCGGGAACAACATCGGACATCTCAGTCCAGAAAGGCGCAGTGCTGGGAACAGCGAGGATACTGCGCAGAACCCTCAAGCTTCCTGGCCTCTGGTAGAGGACCTGAGCTGAATGGGGGACGGACACCACCCGAGGGGTGAGATGAGGATTAAAAAATGTTTTTTTTCCTCAAATGTGCACACAGCATCAATGTCGATTCACAGTAACAGGGCAATTGTTTTTACTTTTCATATGGAAGGTAAATCGTCAATTTGTGACACAAGACCACTTCTAATTTGAAATGAGACGGGCAGCGTAATTTCTGTCATGTTGCGCAATTTGTGAAGGTAACCTGCTCCCAATGTTGTGTGACCTTAGCGCAATGAGCTCCAGGCTGTGCAGGACCTGCGGGGGGTCGGACATCGATGTGGACCAGGCTCGGGGAAGCGCCGTGTGCACCGGCTGCGGTTCCGTTCTGGAGGACAACATCATCGTCTCCGAGGTCCAGTTTGTGGAAGGAAGCGGAGGAGTGTCCTCTGCTGTGGGACAGTTTGTCTCCACTGACGGTGAGCTTAAACTTGCACCCGTCTTCAAAACATTTCACGTTCAAAATGTCAACATGCAGCCAACCAAATACCACTCGAGAAACACTGGTGCACGTTAAGTTTCTCTCACCCACCCAAAACACTCATGAGAAAAAGAGACAAACGGACATGGATGAGCAACAAGATTTCCCCCAAAATGTCAGTCCAATGCTGAATCTGCTTTGCATTGACCGCTTCAACTGGTGGACCTTGACGGCTCCCTAAAATGTCCACTAAAAAGCCTTTTGGAGTGAATGAGCTTTCAGGAATGAGTGAATGACTATTTTATTCACAGTCCCACACCGCCCCCCAAAACAATGGCCGTTGTCCGAGGAGCAGGAGGATAGGTCGCGCCCTTAGGTCATTCCCCCCGCCTTCACTGAAACTGATCAAACTACCGGAGGACTTGACCGACGGAATGTATAAGACGGACTTTGGAACCCCCCCCCCCCCCACTCCCAGAAGAGGCGATCCAAACTTGGTTCTGATCAGCAGAAGCAAAGGACAGACACTTAAGTTGAAGCAGAGCCATTTTTTTATTTCAAGTGGACACGGCCGCTTGAGAAATCGCAACCGTTTGAGGATGCGGTCAACTCAGAGATTGGAATCGCGTGTCCCGAGCCCGCCTGAAGACAGCCTTTTGCTTTCCCTCGCCGCGTGCTCAAGTCCTTCCATCGCTCGAATGATTCCACGATGAATACTGGCTCCGCGCGCAGCCGACGGCCCGTGGCAGTCTCTTTGATCGGAGGTCCTCGAGTCCGCGCCCGAACCTATTTGAGAAGCGGTGGACCCGACGTTCCCCTCCTGGGGCTCGGTGGCCTCCTTCCCATCGATATCGCGAGTGAAGAAATAATCTTGGTGACTGAAACGGGGGGCAGTCTTCGCAGGGCCGCCAAGGGAAGACACCTCTTCGGAGCTCCATCTCGGCGCTGGCGCCATGAACTCTCCAAGACCGGGGCCAGTCATACTTTGAGATGGTCCTGGTGACAAAGGTTAGGGATTCAATGTCATTGAGACGAGACAGCAATTGCCCGCATACTGACGTTCGAAGGGGGGGGGGGGTCGATAGGTTTGGGAGTAGGGAATGATGGCAAACGCACCGCCTGCGTTCGCCATCCATCAACTGTGGAAGAGACCGATCAAGCAGATGTCACTTTTTCCACATCAATCTTGTCACATTGCTCGTTTGAGTCCATACCTGCCATTTGAACGCCGTCCAAAGCGGAAGACATTTTCCCCCGAGCGTTCGGAGACTCGGCCAAACGCTGCCAGTTTCCCGCTGGCGCAAACCGTTTTGGAGCTTCAGGACGTCGTGGCGTCTGGTGCTTTGCGTTGCCGACGGCCGTTAGACCGGGGCTCGGCCAATGAATTCCCCCGTGGCCGGGAATGTGAAAAGCGAGCTGTCTTTGAGGTTTAACCCGAATGCTTTGAACGCGGTCGACAGATTGGTTGCGGAGCCCAAGTTGCTTGGGACTTTGGCCGAATCCTGGAGGGATTTGAGCCACTGGAATACTTTTCGAAGGATAAATAGGAGGAGTGCCGCCAGGTCTCTTGTGCTGCTTTGTCTCCGTGTGAAATGGGCCCGAACCCTGACGCGGCTCCTCCTCCGAGGTCCGCTGGGGTTCGTTCGGCTTGCTCAACTCCGTTTGGCCGACAGGAGACCAGTTGCGTATTGGCCCGGGGGCTTCCACGCGTTTCACGTGCCACGTCTGGCGCGATGGCTGCAAGCGGCTGTCTGCCGACGGGTCGTATTCGTGAGGAAACGGATCCTCCAGCCGGCCTTGAGCTGGCAATGTGGAGGGACCGGGAGGAGTTTGAGCGTGCTGCGGAACAGACTGCCGCTTTGGAGAGTTGAGGTCCGTCTCGCTTGGACGTCCCGGTATCGAAAGGGAGCGGCTTGGTCCCGGCATGGGCGCAACTTGGCCCGTTCCCTGGGTTTGCGCACTTTCCGATGGGCTCATTTCATTTCTGGAGAGCTGCTGTGAACAGTCTGGGGATAGATTCTTTGGATCTACCGGAAAATATTCAGCACATTCATTGAACTGAGCTTCATATTGAGAAACGTATGCGCACGCGCGCGCAGACACACACGACTGACCAGTGAGGCTTCCGAAAACATCGATTGAACCAAATCCTGGAGTTTCAGATCTGGAGATCCGATCCGCTGTCAGTCTGTTGATTCCACTAAGCGGATAGAAGCACCTAACGGTTAACCTTTTTTTGGGGGGAGAAGATTGGTTTTATTCCCAGATCTGTGAAATGATTCGGGCTACCATTGTACTTTTTCTTTACTTAAACTGAGAGTCTCGGGAGATGAAATTTGGTCCGTCGGCAATTAGCTGTCTGTCATGAAGGATCTCGTTCTCGTAAAGCATGTAGTCTCCCACCTGCGGAGTACAACAGACTTGCATCCCGGCCGAGCGTCTCCGTGAACAAGCCGTGGAGCAATACCGCGGCCCTGGTCCCGCACGAGTCCAACTTGAACTGGAAAAGGACCCGAGCGGCGTCCGTCTCTTTGGGGCGACAGGCGGGGTCCAGTAGACTGGTTCTTTCCGGCCGCACCGTGGGCCAGGTGGACGCGGGTCTCGTCACCACCGTGATGATGCCGTCTGAAGAACACACTGAGAGCGCAGCAATTAGCCCGAGAGCCCGCCAGCCATCGTCATTGCATTTGGGTCATGCTGGCATTCAAAGTCCAGCAAACGTTTGGGCTTCATTTCATTGAGAACAGGTCGGCTTTTCCGACGAGGCCCTGATCGCAGACAATTTCAAAAAGATACTTTCGCAATGAATGTTGAAATGACGAAAGGAAACCCGAAAGGCATTTTTTGCTCCATCTTCAGAGATCGCGATTTCCGTTACAAAAAAATAAAATTGCCGATGAAGGCTTCATTTTCTCGCACAATTCTGGTGCGTTTGACAAGACCGTTTATCAATCCAGATACTGAACCGCAAAGCCTTTCCAAAAGGAGTCCCGACAACAGTTCTATCGCTCTTACGAGTCAGAAAGTTTTGGGACCGACCATCATATATGTTTGACGTTAACACCCGTTTGGTCAGCAAGAGTGCTCCGGATGACATGGAAATGGGATCGGAGGTTTTTCAGACCCAGACCAACATTCATTCATTCATTTCCCC